ACAAGAATGAGACTCCAACTTATAATAAAAAAAAAAGTGAAAAATGAACTAAGATAGTTGCTGTGAGTGACGCTTTTTCTCACTGTATAATTCCCGGTAGCAGTTTATTGCATCATTGATTGCTCTTGAAACTTTTAGTTTCCACTCATCATTAGGGCCATTACTAGTAAGGACCTGCAAGCCAGCTTCGAAATGTGAGAAGGCTGCTGACAGTTTTCCTGTGGTTAGCAGACGTAGGACAGGTGGAGCATCTTCACTCTTCTCTCTTGCGGCTACCCATTCCTGTTCCAGCTGCATCAGTTTCTCGTTTGAGAGATCTTCTTCGTGGGACCACAACAACTGGTCCACATCAGCCTCTGCAACCTCTTCAAAGGCCATATTCTTAGCAAGGGTCACAATGTGTTTTTGAAACTGTGCAAGAGTATCTGTCTGGGAAAAACTCTGGTACTGAACACACTCAGGCCAAATCTCCCACACACTATTCATTATTGCTGGTTTGAGCTCCTCCCAAGCAACTGCAATGTTGTCCACAGCATCCACGATGTTGTAGTTTCTCCAACACTCTCTGATCATAACCGTATCCTCACCACCTGCTGCTTCTAGGATGTGCTCAAAAGTCCTTCTCAGGTAATGAGCTTTGAAGGCAGAGGCTACACCTTGACCTGTGGGCTGGAATGAATCACCTGTACTGTCATGAAGATATTCTACTCTTACATTATCAGAAAGATCACTCAAATTGACTGGGTGGCAGGGTGCACTGTCTAGGATAAGCAATGCTTTGTTGGTGAGATTATTTTGGGCACAGTATTTTTCAATGGCAGGGTAAAAAAAGTATGTGAACCATTCATGAAAGATGCTCCTGGTTGCCCAAGCCATTCTGCTGGAGCGCCAAATCACAGGCAAATTGGGCTTCAAGTACCCCTGCAGAGCCTTGGGGGTTTCTGTGTGGTACACTAGTAAGGGCTTCAACTTAAAGTCCCCAGCTGCATTGCCACCAAGTAGCAGCATCAAGCGATCTTTGGATGACTTAAACCCAGGGTCAGCTTTCTCTTCTTCGGAAATTAATGTTCCCTCAGGCATTCTCTTCCAATAAAGTCCTGTCTCATCTACATTAAAGACTTGCTGGGGGGTGTACTCACCTTCTTTGATGATGATTTTCAGCACTTCTGGATATAGGTTTTTGTTGCCAGGAGCTCCACTGTTCATCTTGAAGTGGGGCAAACAATGGCGCTCCTAGAATCTCACAAACCACCCTTTACTTGCACTAAACTTCTCCGTTTGAGAGTTTTCGCCTTGTTCACGCTGTAAATCATCTAGCAAACTCTTAGCCTTCTCCTGAATGATAGTGACACTCAAGGGCATATTTCGCTGGCTCTGGTCTTCCAGCCACATGCTCAGCAATCGCTCCATGTTCTCCATTACTGCACTCCTATGGCGAGTCAACCGAGAGGCTCTCAAAGGAGTAGCTATTCGTGAACTCGCTTTTTTTCTTTATTATCTCGGATGGTCGCCACTGTAGACACAGCAAGGCCCAAGGCCTTTGCGATTTGACTGAGCTTTTCTCCTACTTCGAATCGCCTTAACACTTCTAATTTGATGTCAAGGGTTATCGCTTTCCGTTCCCTTTTGGCATTAGGGATGACCGTTGTACTGAGAGGCCTTTCCCCGGGCATTTCTGACTCCCAAACGTAATAAAATCACAGCCGTCTCAGGTACAAGAAGGCTGTGGCTACACTACGCTCCCTCGCAGAACTTGGGAAACAGAAAATGAGGCTGCAAAAAGGCTGAGGCTGATGCCCCTGGATACGTGCAAGCGTCATCACAGGTCTGCCCAGCCCCGGTGCTCAGAAACAGGCTGCTTAATTCTCGACTCCGAGGAGTCTCGCTGGCGTCAATCGGAGTCCAAGCCCCGCGGGCACATCCCGACTGGCGTGAGTTTCTGTGGCTCCAGAGAGCAACCAACTCACCAACCCAACAAACGAAAGTCCAAGAGGGGAACAATGCGGCACAGCGTGCATCCATCAGTTCCTTTGTCCGGAAGAACAACGGAGCAAACGTGGCCGGGTGTAGAGTAACAAAAGACACCGGTAACAGAGGACGGGGCGAGAGCTGGCGTCACTTTGGCGAGCCGCTTCCCAGGAAGGACCCCAGATATAGGTGTCTTTGGAGATGCCCAACTTAAGATAAGTCTAAAGGTACTCGAGTCCCTTCGGCGCTAGCTCGAGTCAGTTGCTGGGCTTTCTGCGCTCAGTTGTCGGGGCAGGGCGAGACAGCCCTCCTGTGCGGATCCTGGGTCAGGCGATGCAGTAGACACCTGTGTTGGAGGTGCCCCAGCCCGCGCCGTGGCCCGACTGCGCACGTGCGACACCGCCCTGCGCCCCGTGGGTGTGGCGCCACCATGAGGTATTTGCCACTTCGCGTGCGCGCGCCCGTGTGGCGCGAGGTCGGGGGAGGGGGATGTTGTACCGGCTGGCGACTGCGGCCGGCCATCGAGCAGTGGCCGGTCCGCTGGCCGCGCTGTGGCGATGTGGCGGTGGCCTAGGAGATGGCAGAACGGCCGGGACCGGCGTGAGGGCCCTCGGCACGGCCCGGCAGGTGAGCGGGGAGGTGCTGTGTGCGGTTCCGGGCGCGAGGCTGCGTTGGGTGCCGCGGTGACGCCATCAGCCTGCGCCGGTCGGCGCGGGGATGAAGCTGCCCCATCCCGGCCTTTCCTACGGCGGCGGCGGCGGCGGCGGCAGCGGTAGCTACCCCTACCCCTCCCCAGACCCTTTGCCATCCATCACTTCCCGGTGCCTCAATCCTCTGAGATTCTCCTGCTCTTCGTCCTTCCCTCTTCCTTTTCTTGCGAAATTCCGCTGTTTACCAGATGCCGGTTCCCCGACAGCTCCCTACTCCCTTCTTCGGGGAGCCGGATGCGAGCGGCTGGCGCCGAGCCCCGCCCCTCCGGGAGCCCCAGTCTCCGGGCTCAGCGATTCTCTCCCTTTGCCTCGCACAGTTGCTCTAGGCACCGGATACGATGATACCTCGAAAGAGTTTTGTGAACTGTTCGCTAGTGACATTCGTTCAGCACGACTCTACCGCTCTAGTAATAGCTAATACTACTTGAGGGCTTAGGTGCTAAGGGCTTAACGTGCATTATCTCATTTAATTAAGCTTTACACCACTCGTGTAGGTAGGTATTGCTACAACCCTATTTTTTTTTTTTTTTTGAGTTGAAGTCTTACTTTGTCGCCCAAGCTGGAGTGCAGTGGCACACTCACCGCCTCCCCAGCGCTGAACTGCTGGGCTCCCGCGATCCTTCCACCTCATCCTTCCAAGTAGCTGGAACTACAGGCGCGCACTACCTTTATTTATTTATGTTTTTTTTTGAGTTGGAGTCTCACTCTGTCACCCAGACTGGAGTGCAGTGGCCGCTCCCGGCCACCGCAGCCTCGACCTGCTGGGCTCCGGCGATCCTTCCGCCTCAGCCTTCCAAGTAGCTGGAACTACAGGCGTGCGCTACCACGCCTGGCTCATTTTTTATTTATTGTAGAGATAAGGTCTCGCCAAGTTGCCCAGGCAGGTCGCGAAATTTTTTATTTATTGTAGAGATGAGGTCTCGCCAAGTTGCCCGGGCTGGTCTCGAACCCGCCGGCTCAGACAGTCCACTCACCTCGGCCTCCCGAAGTGCCGGGATTACAGGCTGAGCCACCGAGCCCGGCCTTCAACCCTATTTTATCATGTTATTTAACTCTGCTTCCGGATGTCCCTTCTGAGGGGACATGTAAATCTAGCAAACCTGTCTGATGTTCCCTCTCGGGGGACATAAAAAGATTGTTGATGATTATACAGGACACATTTAGAATTTTTTTTTTTTTTTTTTTTGAGTTGGAGTCTCACTCGATCGCCCAGGCTATAGTGCAGTGGCATACTCACAGCCACCCCAGCATGGACCTGCTGGGCTCCAGCAATCCTTTCCCCTCAGTCTTCCAAGTAGCCGGAACTACAGGCACTCACTACCATGCTCGACTAATTTTTGATTTATTGTAGAGACAAGGTCTCAGCAAGTTGCCCAGCTGGTCTCGAATCCATGTGCTCAGGCAATCCACTCTCCTTGGCCTCCCAAACTGCTGGGATCACAGGGTGAGCCACTGAGCCGGGCTAGCGCAAATTTTTAAAATATATTTCCTTTAAGTTTTTCATTCAAATTGCACATAAGAAGCAAATAAAGTGACAGAATATATCCTGAGATACGATTGATCAGCTGAGAAGTAGTTTTCAGGAATCATGAGTGCATCCTTCCACATCTTCGAACAACAGACTGGACAATAAATTATATATTATTAACATGGGAGGAAGAAAACTTCTAACAGAAAAACACCAGGTGGAAAATGTCCAACAAATTAGTACTGCAAACCTATCAGTGGACCTGCAGTGCATGTTGGTGGTTGTTTCACATATTACCATACAGAAAAAATTTAAGATCTAAAGTTTTGATTTTTTTGGTCATAAATAAGTTCCTCAGTGTCCAAAATTCCATTATAAACCCAATATTGTTATAATAAAATGATTGGTTCCAGCGCTATACTATTTAATATGAAATTATTTGTTTTTCATTATTTTATAAAAAAAGTGCAGTCAGGTTGCTGGTAGGTGATCTTCAAGATGTCTCTGAGTGCAAAGAGTTAAAAACATTTTTTTTTTTTTAAGGTGAGCTCAAGCTGGTTCAAACTCTTGGGAAACTCCTGGGCTCAAGCGGTCCTCCTGTGTCAACCACTGGAGTAGCTGGGATTACAGGCATGCCGCTGCCTTGGTTTATAATCCTATTTTACAGAAGAGGAAACATATAGAATATTCCATGTTTGAAGGTTGTGCTGTTTTTGTATTTATACATCCCAGCAGGCAGCAGTCATATTGAATTTTTTTTCTAATGCACTGATGTAGAGTTTTTTAATCTTGATCCCAGAAAGGTATCATGGTTTTCAGACAGTAGTAAAATAGGAAGAAGGGTTCTGTGAGTTCTTCTGTCCTGTTTTTAGGAATAAACTTTCCTCCTTCATCTCCATTCATTTGGGAAACTGCATAATAGTTTTGTTTCTAGCAATATAAGTGAAAAGAGTCTTTCATCTGTGGCCCTGTGGCATTTCAGCATTGCAGAGGGCTGTTCTGGGTGTTAACATGTGTTGAAAGTTAGCAGTATACTGACAAATGAGTCGAATCACTGGACTGCTGTGGACCCCTTTATGAAGGAAGTTGGGTGATCTTTGAGTTCCTTTCCAGTTTGAATCGTTCCTCCTTATCTCATTTATTAGACAAATACCTGTTGACAGTCTACGATCGGGGTATATTGTGAACAAGACAAGCAAGGGCTTTGCCCCATGGCTGCTAACCTTTGGGGACTTTAGGATTTGTGGGCTGAGGGGAACATGCAAAGACTGGAGAGGTGGTAGCAATTTGCTTTATAGCTCATTTCATTTGACAGGATTTCCTTCTTTGCCCAGGTTGGATGCAGTGACACGATCACAGCTCACAGCAACCTCAGCCTCCTGGTCTCAAATGATCCCCTCACTTCAGCCTCCTGTGCAGTGAGGACTACAGGCGTGTGCCACCACACTCAGCTACTTTTTCTATTTTTTGTATAGACGAGGTCTCGCTTGTTGTCCAGGCTAGTCTTGAACTCCTCACCTCAAGTGATCCTCCCGCCTCAGCCTCCGCAAGTACTAGGATGCTTTATAGTTTAAAAATCTAACAGTCAGTGCTTCTCAAAGGAAGCTTATGTTGTGGAGACTTGCATGCCATCTTTAATTCTGTGGGCTGCCAACACTGTCCTTGTTCTTGAAGAGTTTATATGCTGTATAAAGAGGAACCAGACAATAACCCAACAAGTATAGGGAATGCTAGGTGGTTATATGAGGTATGAAGGGAAAGGAAGCAGAATAAGAGTAACGGAGAATGAAGAGAAGGGAATGAGGTGGGGTTTAGTCAGGCCCCTGTATAACCCAATGTGTGCGAGTCAGTACCCGAGACAGCAGAAAGTTTTAATCTGTAGGGCCACTGATCGGGAAGGTAGGAGGAAACTTCACATGTCTCTCGGAGGAGTTTGAGGCTAGGAATTTTAAGGGTTTTGGTGTGGGCTGAAGTGTGAAGATCATGGATTGGTTGGAGTGCTGGGTTGAGTCATGGGACAGGGAGGTGAAGAACCTGTATTTGCATGTTTCTGTTCTTGTGTGTGGGTGTGTGTGGATGTGTGTGTGTGGGGTTTCTTCAAACTGTTTGACATTAGCTGTTTTCCTAGAATTGGGGATTTTTGTTTTTTTAGTTGGGGTTTCACTCTGTTGCCCAGGCTGGAGTGCGGTGGCACAATCATGTCTCACTGAAGTCTCAGTCTCCTAGGCTCAGGTGATCCTTTTACCTCAGCCTCCTAAGTAGCTGGGACTATAGGTGCATGCCCCCATACCAGGCTGATTTTTGATGTTTTTGTAGAGACATGGTCCTGCTATGTTGTATAGGCTGGTCTTGAACTTCTGGGCTCAAGCAATCAAAACTTTGTTCTCCCAAAGTTTTGGGATTACAGGTGTGAGTCACCACATCCAGCTTTTTTGTTTGTTTAAATAACTTTTTACAAAGAAGGCATCTTGCTGTGTTGCCCACACTGGTCTGTAGCTTCTGACCTCAAGCTGTCCTCCTGCCTCGGCCTCCCCAAGTGCTGGGAATACAGGTGTGAACCACTGAGCCGGGCTGAAATCCCATCTTTAAAAAACAAACAAACCAACCTCTTGGCTGATGAAAGATGAGTCATATTTTAATTTTACCCGATTTTAGATTTTAATCTTACAATCATGTTTGTTTTTGAAGCTGTAATATTTTAGGTTATGAAAATTGCCTCAGTTACTAAGAAATGGTTAACCTTTTGTGGGGTTGTTTGCTGGCTATTGGAAGCTGTAGCTATAAAAATGTGTTATGTGTTTCTGCGGTGAATTCTTGTTTATCCCGTTTGGATCCTTTTTTTTTTGGCATCAGAGTCTCACTCTGTCACCCAGGCTGGAGTGTAGTGGGCATGATCATGGCTCACAGCAGCTTCAGCCTCCCAAGTAGCTGGGACTACAGGTGCATGCCACCATGTCTGGCTAATTTTTTTATTTTTTGTAGAGACGAGGTCTCACTATGTTGTCCAGGCTGGTCTAGAACTCCTTGCCTCAAGCAATTCTCTTGCCTCAGCCTCCCCAAGTGCTGGGATTACAAGTGTGAGCCACTGTGCCCAGCCTGGATCATATTTTTTTTTTTTTTTTTTTTTTTTGAGTTGGAGTCTCACTCTGTCGCCCAGACTGGAGTGCAGTGGCTGCTCCCGGGCCACCGCAGCCTCGACCTGCTGGGCTCCGGCGATCCTTCCGCCTCAGCCTTTCCAAGTAGCTGGAATTACAGGCATGCGCTAACACGCCCAGCTGATTTTTGATTTATTGTAGAGATGAGGTCTTGCTGCCCAGGCTCGAACCCGCGGGCTCAGGCAATCCACTCACCTCAGCCTCCCAAAGGCGCGGGATTACAGGCTGAGCCACCGAGCCCGGCTGGATCATATTTTTAATGGGATATTTAAGCAGATAAATAAAGGCAGCAAACTCACACCTTGGCCTGCATCCTGACTTTTCTAGTGGTTTGTAATGCTGTGAGAAAGTGCTGCACTGTATACCAGAAGAAGCTAATAAGCTAATCATCCTGTCTCCTGTTTCAGTGCCTCCAGGGGATCCGCTTTCTGCAGCTGAATCTGCAGGCGAGACTGACATCATTTTCCCAGTGGCTGTGTTCAAAACCACCCAAAGGTACCTGTCTTCCTTCTACCATCATTAGCAGCGTAGAGTACAGGGACCACACATGGCTTCCTCAGAGTGTGTCTCCCACAATGATTGACCAGGGGTCGAGAAGCATAATAGCTTGTGTGCTCCCGTTCCATCCCTTTTCTGGCTTCCATACTGAGCCACTCTGCATACAGCACCTTCTCTGCCTTTATGGTTTTGATAGTGAAGCTGGTGAAAGAGAAACTCTTTCAGAAGAAAGTTGCTAGGTGAATCTTTTGGAAGGCATGGGAACAAACCTTGGTTTCTGCATATCTGATCCTGTGGACCAGCCAAGCCTCATGTTTGGGAAATAAAACAGAGATGATGTACAGCCTGTTCTTAGCTTAGAGCACTTCTGTCCATTTGGAGACCTTCAGAGAAGGCCATGGGCCTGAACTTAGTGTTCAGTGTCTAGGCACAGTGCTCACAGAACCCCTGAATACCCTGTGTCTCCAGAGAGTGGCAGGCACTCCCCAGCACATGTCTCAATATTAGAGCTTAGGGTGGATGTTAGTCTCTTACTTTTTCTATTCCAGTTTGACAGTATTGTTGCAATTCTGAGTGTGATTCTTTCTTCTAAAGTACTAGAACCTTATCATTTTTTCCTCTAAGGGTTTGAGAAGTACTTTAAAAGGAGTGAAAGAAACACAGATTCAGAGAAATCAACAGCTCCAAAAAAAGGTAAAAGGGTCAGTTTGACAAATCAGACTGTCAAGTTTTACATTTGAGTATTTTTAAAGCATTCATAAATTTTTGAACTGATCTTCTTGGGAAGTGACAAGCAAGTGGGCCTGCAAGTGTCTAATGTTGACATTTTCTTCCCTTTGCTTGTCTGTGGATGTTCTCCATTGCTCCCACATCACTGTTTCTTGTCTTTGTCTCTCAGCACCTTCTCAGCTTGTTGAGACCAAATCCTCGAAAATAATCTCTTAAATTGTATCTTGATTTGGTGATGTGGATTGGGTTTTGGGATTGGTGAAATCAGTATTTATCAGATGTGTTTCTCCCGTGAAATGTCTCCTGCTCGGGTACCCATGAACACGGAATAGGAACAAATACATAAAAACATTGGGAGGTATGGTGATATGCCTTGCTACCAATAGAACATTTCTTTGAAGACTCATATTTTGTCCTTAAGATTTGTGCAAAATTTCACTCTGTCTTATAATATGTTTTGTTATTCCTGGGGTCTCTTTGCCTTTTCCAGGCTTTCATGGTATTATTTTGACGTTGTTGGAGTGGCAGTGTGTCCGTGAAGAGGGTGCAGTATCATGGCATGTTTTGTTCTGGAACTTTGATGAATGCTACAGGAAGAGGCTCGTGGGACTCCCCTTCTGCAATACAGCTTATATAAGTCACAAGGGTACACAGGGGCCACAGGAGAGGCAGGCTCTGCTTAGAGCAGATAATGTGTTTCCCCAGTTTTCTTGAGAAGTGGGACCACCTGTGTCAGCTTGCCTTATCATTTTCTTTTTTTTTGAGTTGGAGTCTCATTCTGTCATCTAAACTCCGGCCACCGCAGTCTCGACCTGCTGGGCTCCAGCAATCCTTCCACCTCAGCCTTCCAAGTAGCTGGAACTATAGGCACGTGCTACCATACCCTGCTAATTGTTTTGATTTACTGTAGAGACGAAGTCTTGCCAAGTTGCTCAGGTGGATCTCGAGCCCGTGGGTTCAGGCAGTCCGCTCACCTCGGCCTCCCAAAGTGCTGGGATTACAGGCTGAGCCACCAAGCCCGAACTCCTTATTTTCTTCCCTTCTTTCCTTCCTCTAATTACAGCCAATTTTGGGACTGCTAGCCAAGAAAAAGCTATTAAAACTCAGTTCTGGAGCCAGCAAGGTGAGATTGTAGGGATTTTTAGATGTAACCGAAGCTACTTCTCAGCAATATTTCCCCAGCCTCTTCCTTTTCCCTTTCTCTGTTTATTTCCAGACGCACTAATGTTATTAAAATTGTATGTTGGGCTGAATGCAGTGGCTCATGCCTGTAATTCCAGCACTTTGGGAGGCTGAGGTGAGAGGATTGCCTGAACTCAGAGCTCGAAGAGACCAGCCTGAGCAACTTGGTGAGACCTTGTCTCTACAATAAATCAAAATATTAGCCAGGCATGGTGGTGCATGCCTGTTGTTCCAACTACTTGGAGTGCTGAGGCAGAAGGATCACCTGAGCCCAGCAGGTCGAGGCTATGGTGGCTGTTAGTGTGCCACTGTACTCCAGCCTGGGTGACAGAGTCAAATAAATAAATAAGTAAATAAATAAATAAAATTGTTTGTTGGAAAGAGTTTTTCTGTTCTCTGAATTCTCTTTCTCTGGAAAATTATATGTAATTGTTATTTGAAGTCAGATTTTTTCTCTTAGAAACAGACAAACCAAAGAATGCTGGGCCTGGGGGAGATGGAAGCAAGAGAGGAGGGAAGCAGGATGACTTTGCCTGGTGGAGACAGATTCAGAAGGTTTGTATGCATCTGAAGACAAGACCCAGACACCTGCCATTTCCCCAAAGAGTGTTTTGTGTGAACTTTGTCTTAGTCTATTCCTGATACTATAACAAAATACATTAGACTGAATAATTTATAAGCAGGGTAAATGTATTGTGGAGGCTGAAAAGTCCAAGGTCAGGCACTGGTAAGTTCTGTTTGTTAAGGGCCTGACCTCTGATTCCAAGATGTTGTTTTGAACACTGCTTCCTCCAGAGGGGACAAACCCTGTGTCCTCACATGGTGGAAGGGATGAACTTTCCCTCTCAAGCCCTTTTATAAGGGCACTAGTCCCTGTTCATGAGTGTGGAACCCTTAGGACTTAATCACCTCCCAAGAGCCCCACTTTTTGGTTTCTGTTTTTTTTTTTTTTTTTTTGAGTCAGGATCTCACTCTGTTGCCCAGGCTGGACCTCTTGGGCTCAGGTGATCCTTTAGCCTCAGCATCCGGAGTAGCTGGGCTTATAGGCATGCATCACCACACCTGGCTAATTTTTTAATTTTTTGTAGAGACAGGATTTTGCTATGTTGCCCAGGCTGGTCTTGAACTCCAGGGCTCAAGAAATCCTCCCGTCTTGGCCTCCCGAAGTGCTGGGATTATAGGCATGAGCCACCCTGCCCAGCTCTAAGGGCCCCACCTCTTCTTTTTTTTTGGAGTTGGAGTCTCACTCTGTTGTCCAGACTGGAGTACAGTGGCATGCTCATTGCCACCCCGGTGTCAACCTGCTGGACTCTGGCGATCCTTCCGCCTCAACCTTCCAAGTAGCCAGAACTACAGGCACATGCTACCACACCCGGCTAATGTTTGATTTATTGTAGTGACGAGGTCTTGCCAAGTTGCCCGGACTGGTCTCAAACCTGCAGGCTCAGGCAGTCCTCTTGCCTCGGCCTCCCAAAGTGCTGGGATCCCACTTCTTATACTTTCACTTGGCAGTTGAGTTCCGACATGAATATCTTGGAGGGATAGATACATTCAAACCCATGGCAGTCTCTCTGCTTGTTTAGGGACAAGCTGTTGAATGAGCTCAAAGTTTCAAATAAGTAAATTTACAAAGATGTGTTGAGATTTCTATCTGAATTTTAAAAGACCCAGATATGAGAGAACTCTTGTAATAATGACTCCAAAAGCAGCACTTTCTGTGGTTTCTGCTTCTCCTGGGGCTTCTAGTGTGTTTATGCACCATGTAAGGGTCTTCCTCACAAGAGGGACCAAGGCCACATCATGTAGTGTCACAAGGGGAGGACTTGTACAACTTCTCTAATAATGTCTGAAAAAGGAAATAGCCAGTTTTCTGAAGAAAACGCCTTTCTTTAACTAGATGACATCTTTTCTTCCACAGGGAGAATTCCCCTGGGACGACAAGGATTTCCGAAATCGGGTCATTTTTGGGGCAGGTGTTGCCATGGGATTGTTCTACTTATATTTTCGAGATCCTGGAAAAGAAATCACCTGGAAGCACTTTGTACACTATTACCTGGCCAGAGGTCTGGTGAGGGGAGTTTATAATTTATCTACCTGGGAAGGAAGGTACTGTGGAGGTGCCCTCCTGCATGTGGTCTGTGGTGCCCTGAAGAGGCTGTGAGCTCTGAGGCCTGGGTTGAGAGTCTAGTGTGTCCTGAACAGCCCTACCCTTGGGACACAGATAAGACACAGCTTTACTTTTTCCAATAACTACCCCAATAGAATGGTGTTACACCCACTTTGCTGCTGGGTGGAGGCTTCCTTAACATCATGGCCTGATGTTGTCTTTTGTTAGCTTTGGTTTTTAAGATTTAGTCTGTCTGTCCATTTATCTTTATTTTTATTCATTTATTTATTTTTGAGTCAGAGTCTCACTCTGTCGCCCAGGCTGGAGTGCAGTGGCACACTCACGGCCACCATAGCCTTGACCTGCTGGGCTCAGGTGATCCTTCTGCCTCAGCCTTTCAAGTAGCTGGAACTACAGGCACACACTTCATGCTCAGCTGTTTTCTTGATTTACTGTGGTGATGAGGTCTCACCAAGTTACCCAGGCTGGTCTCAAACCCTTGGGCTCAAGCAATCCTCTCACCTTGACCTCCCAAAGTGCTGGGATTATAGGCGTGAGCCATTGCACCTGGCTCATTTATCTTTTTTTTATTTTTTATTTTTTGAGTTGGAGTCTCACTCTGTCGCCCAGACTGGAGTGCAGTGGCCGCTCCCGGCCACCACAGCCTCTACCTGCTGGGCTCTGGTGAACCTTCCGCCTCAGCTTTCCAAGTAGCCGGAATTACAGGTGCGCGCTACCATGCCTGGCTAATTTTTGATTTATTATAGAGATGAGGTCTTGCCAAGTTGCCCAGGTGGGTCTCGACCCCGCGGGCTCAGGCAATCCACTCACCTCAGCCTCCCAAAACGCTGGGATTACAGGCTGAGCCACCAAGCCCGGCTTAATTCACATCTTTTTTCTCCCCTTAGTGCATCCCTGGTCCCTGCTGGCTGGCTCTGGACAGTGGCGCTTTCAACCCTGGAGCTTTGTATCTGTACAGAGGAGCATATGGCACCAGCAGGGCTCCTGCTTGTCCTTCACAGGACATGGGTCTGTCTGTCAGGATGCTGAAGTTGTGTGAAATATTGCTCAGGGTTCAGCATAAACTTACACAAGCAAGTGCCTTGCTTCTCAGTTGTACTCAGGAAGATGTTTGCTAAATAATGCTAAGATCTGAACTTCTTTCTGTTTGATGATGTCTGTAGTAAAGTCTTATTTCCTACCAGGGTTGTGGCCAAGCCTTTTTGTCTGGCCATGGGGCACTTGCCAGTCTTTAGAGAGGCCCTTGACCACTCTCCCTACAGTAGTTGAGGGGAGCTGCTGCAGCCCCTTGCTGCTGTGGGTCTGTCATCTGCAGATATGGCTGTGAGAAGGATGAGGCAGGTATGTCGACCCAGGACGCCTTCCTGTGTGTGGATTTTGGATAGGTCCCAGACCTTCCAAGTGTCTGACATGTTGACCACAATGTGGTCATATTGTGGTTGTGAGGCACCTCAGTCATGAACACATGAGTCTGTCAGGGTGCTGAAGTTGGGTGAAATATTGCTCAGGCTTCAGCATAAACTTACACAAGAGCAGGTGCCTTGCTTCTCAGAAGGATGTTTGTTCATGTTGGTCACATAACCCTGAATCTTCATTTAGTTTCCAAGAGAAGTTGCCTTGTAGTGGTTTAAGATTCTGTGGAGAGCAAAAAGCAACACTGTTGTTGTTGTACTTAATGAAATGGTGTGCTCTCAAGTTGTGTTTTTTCTACATGGCTTTTGGGGGCTGTGCTAGCCTGCTGGACAGCAGTGTGGAGAGGGCTGTCAGCTTGTGGACCTTTGGGCTGTTTTCATTCTTGCCAGCACCATTTTTTTTACCTGCAGCTGGATGGATAAAATGCTTCTGAGTCAGCTCTGTATTTAAGATTTTGCAATCAGGCGCTGTGGCTCAAGCCTGTAGTCCCAGCACTTTGGGAGGCCAAGGCGAGAGGATTGCCTGAACTGGTTTGAGACCATGCTGGGCAACTTGGTGAGACCTCGTCTCTACAATAAATCAAAAAATTAGCCGGGGTGTCGGAGTGCATGCCTGTAGTTCTTGCTACTTGGAAGGCTGAGGCGGAAGGATTGCTGGAGCCCAGCAGGTCGACGCTGGGGTGGGTGTGAGCGTGCTATTGCGCTCCAGCCTAGGCGACAGAGTGAGATTCTGACTCAAAAAGAAGATTTTGCTGTATTGTCAGTATTAGACTTCTCTTTGTTTTGCTTTTAGATTTTTAAGCCAATCTAGAATCTTGGTGCTCAGATATACTACATTTTCATTCTTCTTGAATTGGTTCCTGTTTATTAAAATGGAAATAGTTTCATACTCCACACTAAAAATGTCCAAGTTAGAAAACGTAGCCTCTTGGATATGGTCAGAGTCACTGTGGCGTGTCTGAGGAGGAAGCCCATGATTTGCTGTTGAATTTCCTACTTACTGCCTCAGCTGTTCTGACTGATGTTTTTTCCCCAGGTGGACCGGCTGGAAGTTGTGAACAAACAATTTGTGCGTGTTATTCCTGCCCCTGGGACGTCTTCTGAGGTAAGGAATTGGTTTAAGATCAAGTATTCCAGACACATATTTTTTAAAAATGTTATTTTCTACTTTTTCAGTAAAGTGCCTTCCTTTATCTAACGACCACCCGGTTGTATCAATAGCAGTCTTCCAAGTAGGACAAGAGCCCTTCTAAGGCTGTGGTTCAGATTTGCCAAGTAATGTGTGTGAGAACCACTTGCCAGGGTTTGGGAGAAGAAAAGAATAAAAAGACAAAAGAAAAAGGGACAAAGGCAAACTTCAGCAAGTGTTGAACATTTTATACTTTTTTTTGAGTTGGAATCTCACTCTGTCGCTCAGCCTAGAGTGCAGTGGCACAGTGATGGCCACTGTAGCCTTGACCTGCTGGACTCAGGTGTTCCTTCCACCTCAGCCTTCCAAGTAGCTGGAACTGTAGGCATGCGCCACCATGCCTGGCTAATTTTCTGATTTATTATAGAAATGAGGTCTTGCCAGGATGCCCAGGCTGGTCTTGAACCCGTGAACTCAGGCAGTCCTCTCGCCTTGGCCTCCCAAAGTGCTGGGATTATAGGCGTGAGCCACTACACCTGGCCATTTTATACTTTCATCTAGAATTTAAAGCCTGCAGTTTCATAGGAACAGAACTGAAGGATCTCCTGCTGTTGGCAAGTTTCCTTTAGAGCTAGGGTGGGACTTATTGTGGAAATTAGGGCCAGGAAAAAAGGTGCCTGTGTCAGGGCAGGTTTCAGTGTAGGACAGAGTGGTGCAGCCTAAACTTGCTTTTGGTCTCTGCAGAAGTTCGTGTGGTTCAACATCGGCAGTGTTGACACTTTTGAGCGGAACCTGGAGTCTGCCCAGTGGGAGCTGGGCATCGAGCCCACCAACCAGGCAGTGGTGGTCTACACCACTGAGAGTGATGGGTGAGCTGGACAGTGCAAGCTTGCCTGGAGTCTCTAGTTCTGAACACAAAATAGAAATTCAGTGTTCAGCCTATTTTGGAATGTGCTTCTCTTGAGCATATTACATCTGTTATTACTTACAATGTCTGTAATAAAAATATGTATATGAGGAGGGACTCCCCCCAAAAAAATCCAGGATTATTTTTTGGAGGGCAGGCCCCTTGTAGTGCAGGCTTCTCCCGATAGGTTAGTGTTCTAGGAGTCCATCGGCATCAGTGAGAGGCTGCATTTGGCTTCAGTGTTCAGTGCCTTTTTTTTTTTTTTTCCAGAGTTGGAGTCTCACTCTGTTGTCCAGGCTGGAGTGCAACGGCCTGCTCACGGCCACCCCAGCGTCGACCTGTTGGGCTTAGGCGATCCTTCTGCCTCAGCCTTCCAAGTAGTCGGAACTATAGATGCGTGCTACCACACCTGGCTAATTTTTTTTTTAATTGTAGTGATGCAGTCTTGTCAAGTTGCCCAGGCTGGTCTTGAACCCATGGGCTCAGGCAATTCCCTCATCTTGGCCTCCCAAAGTGCTGGCATTATAAGCTTGAGCCACTGCATCTGGCCAGGTGCCTTTTATTTTTTTTTTTGAGATTCTTTCAGCGCTTTTGCCCTTTTCATGATGGGTGATTTGCAAGTGCACCTGCCCACACTGTGCTGTGTGTTCAGCAGTTTTTGACCAGAAAGGGCATGACTCCTGTGCCACACCTTCCTGTTTACCTGATCTCACCCTGAGCAACTTTTTTTGGTCTTCCTGGTGACAGAAGTCTTCAAAGGGAAATGTTTTGCTGATGTGGAAGAGGTGAAACAAAAAAATGACAGAAGCACTAAAAGGCATCAAAATCGATGAGTTCAAAAACTGTTTTGAGCAGTGGAAAAAGCATCTTGATCGATGTATTGCATCCAACAGAGAGTATTTTGAAAGTGACTGAAGTTTAACCATAAGAATAAATACACACTTTTTAATAAATGCATTCTGGGGTTTTGGGGGGTCCCCCCTCATATTTGTTAGCTCTGTGTTTATTGAGAAGAGAATTGAAGCAGGGAAATATTTAGGTAGGCAGCCTTTAAAGAGTGTTGGATGAGGAAAATCAAACAGTTGTTGGGTATTGATGTCATTGTAGCACAGATTTCCTGAAGCTTTGTAGGAAGCCTTCCAAACTGGCCTTCCATCAGAATCCCTTTCAGAGCCCTTTCAAAATGCATGACCATCCCTCCACCTCCTACTCCCATAGACCTGTTGAATTAGAATGTCCAAAGGTAGGACCTGTGACTTTACCAGGCTCCCTGGCAAGCCACCCTGACCCATTCTCCTTTGTGCTGGAGGTCCTTGTTCACAGCCCTGTGACCTGATACTTGGTCGTGCTATACTTCCCACAACTCCCTTGTCATCTTGAATTCCCACTGCACTGTATGTTCTTAAAGTAAATATGGACATGAGGGCAAATACCAGATTAAATACTCTGTATGTCCCAGGATTTAGCACAGAGGTCAGTGTTGCCAAGCTTGGCTCCTGCTCTGTCTTTTTTTTTATAGTTGAAGTCTCATTCTGTCACCCAGGCTGGAGTGCAGTGGCACGCTCACAGCCACTGCCACTGCTGGGCTCAGGTGATCCTATAGGCATGTGCCACCATGCCCAGCTAATTTTTTTTATTTATTGTAGAGAGAGGTCTCACCAGGTTGCCCAGGCTGGTCTCAGTTCCCTGGGCTCAGGTAGTTCTCTCACCTCTGCCTCCCAAAGTGCTGGGATTACGTGCATGAGCCACTGCACCTGGCTGTCATGTTTAATTCCTAGGGATGTCATTGCCTTGTCTTCTCAGGCCCTTAACAATGGAATTGAAAACTGAATTAGAAGAAGGGTGTAAGCTCAGTACCAAGAATTGGAATAGGGCTGAGCACAGTGGCTCATGCCTGTAATACCAGTACTTTGGGAGGCCAGGGTAGGAGCTGCTTGAGGCGAGGAGTTTGAGACCAGCCTGGTCAACACAGTGAGACCCTGTTTCTACCAAAAAAAAAAAAAGAATTGGGATAGTAGTGATTTGGGTGGTTTCATACGCTTAAGGGCAGAGTAGGGGTTACAGTGAGGATGAGGGAAAGTGAGGTAGGTAGAATTCTGGAGATGATTTCCAGAATTCTAGTGGTAGATCTGAACAGCCTACAGTCTTCTGCTGGAGCTCCGGAAGGTTGTCCGGGGTACTGTTTATTACTTACGTGAGTTTTGTTTTTCCTTGTTGAGTTGCCAGGAATGCTGGTTGTATGTGGGCCTATCTTCTGGGCATTGAGGATTTGTTCAGGGAGCTGAGAGTGACTTAGAATCCCCTGGAGGATGGGATGGCCTCAAGCCTCTGGAAGGCAAGAGAAAATGTAAAATTTAGATAAACCAGGAAGACATTCCATGTCTCCCTGTGATAAAACTATGGGCCCCAGCTGTGAAAAGGCAATGCTGGCTCTGCTGGGGGCATCTCCTGAGGGAGGTGTCCCAGCAAAGGTCTAGTAGGCTGTCTGGACAGTCAGTTGCCCTCCTCACCCCACCAGGCCAACCATAGCTTACATCAGGGGGACAGAAATGCATATGACTAGAGCCTTCAGAATAGGGAGTCCAAATGCTGCATGGACTTTGACATATTTTTAAAAAAGAAACTGTTTTCTTTTGTGTGACAAAATAAAGTCCTAGTGCAGTCAGTCTATTCTTCCTGTCCCAAAGTATTTCTGACCTACTCCTGAGTGACTGTTATGAGTGGTTTTCTTGGATTTTCCAGCTCTTTCTTGCGAAGCCTGGTGCCCACCCTTCTCCTGGTTGGCATTCTCCTCTATGCTGTGAGGAGGGGGCCGATGGGAGCTGGGCGCAGCGGACGAGGAGGGGGCCTCTTCAGTGTTGGTGAGACAACAGCCAAGATCTTAAAGAGCAACATCGACGTGCGATTTGCAGATGTAGCTGGCTGCGAAGAAGCCAAATTGGAAATTATGGAGTTTGTGAATTTCCTCAAGAATCCCAAGCAGTATCAGGACTTAGGAGCCAAAATTCCAAAGGTATTGATTTCGGAAAACATGGTAATATCCTGGGCTCCAAGTCAAAGTCAGAGATTGCTGTGGTTCACATGCTTTTCAACCTAATTTTTGTGATGATTTTGGTTTTATTAATGACAAGAGAGAATGAAAACAACATGTATAGTGTAAAACAGTAAAAATCCTCTTATCTGATGGACTTGGGACTGCAGTGAGCTAGTTTTTTAGAATATAAAACTGGGATCATAATAACAATACCTACTCATCTGAAGTGTGTTTATTTTTAACTGAAAACACAAATGTATATCCCTTTGCTGGCCTTCACTTAGAAGCCTGTGAGTCTGGTTCTAACAGTCACAATCCTTTGTTAAACTTCTGCGTGAACCACATATTATCTACAATTTTGTTTCTCTGACTTGAACTTACTTAGAAGCAATCTGAGTGCAGAACTCGTGTTGTGTTTTCTTTTTACTTATTTAATAGTTTTCTCACCTACTCAACTTAACAGCATTTTTTTTCCCTCAATTGCCCAGGCTGGAGTGCAATGACACGATCCTGGCTGACCGCAACCTTGGACCGCATATTTAAAGCACTTAGCCTTTGTTGTTTTATTAAGCAAAGCTTTCAACTTAGTTGTCTAAGAAACAACTTTTTTTACTCCTATTTCATTTATGTAATATTAAATTACATAATTAAAACAAGTACAGCTTATGTGAACAGATTTGGGATCAAATATGACTGCCTCTTGGTAACCCCAAGAACCAATGTGCACTAGGCAGATGGGCACTTCACAGGGTGCTGTGGGTCAGGGTGACGCAGAGAAAGCTGAGCCGTGGTGGATCGGACTGCTGGATACACAGAGGGCAAGTTTATCTCTTTTGGGGGTCATTGACCCTTTGAGGACCTGACAGAAGCCATGAATTCTTTTCCCAGAAAGACTTGCATCCATACAAAGTCAATTCATAGACCCTTCAAGTCATCTCTGGGCTTTGGATCAGGCTAAGAACTCCCAGCACAGACGGCTCCTGCGGTGGCCTTGTACACCCCCAGCCCCTCCCCACAAGATGGGTACTACTAGGCAATGTGTTCTGAACAATAACAAATAATTACCAACCTCTGTGAACCTCGGGTGAGAGTCAGGAGGTGACTTGCCTGTTTTCCACTCCGGTGGCTGTTGAGGTGAGAAAGCAGGTATATGTGACCGAAGTCAGAGATGGCCTTCTGCTTCTGTGGGAGTTCACCTCTGCTCACAGTCAGGCACTGCAGTGGTTGCTTGTGTTTACTGTTCAGAATTTCTCTCAGGTGCTTGTATTTACTGGGCAAAATCTGTATACTAGAGGGAGTGTGTGGAGCAGTCAGGGACTGGGAAAGGCCTCTCACCTGGAGTGTTGGTCCCCTCCCTAGCCAGGTGTGGGTTCCTGAGAGAGGGATGCTCTGTCAGCCTGTGTGTTGTTTGTGGGCTCCAGTGCAGGCTCTGTGCTGTGCTGTGGATGTCAGTAAAGAGTCAGTGTAGTGAGGCCCATCTGGCTTTCCAGTTTCTCTTGGGTAGGAGTTCCCAAGATTACCACTGCCCATGGCATTCCCCTGAGGGAATCCTTCAGAGGAGCTGGCTCTGCGTGGTCACAAGTATAATTCCTATAGCACATGAGCAGATGTGGTATACTGTTGGCAAGCCTGGCCCCTTCCTGCCTTCTGGAGGCATCTCACATGGACATCTCACATGTCATTCCATGAAGTGTTAAGGCCATCCAGATTGTGGGCCGAGATGTGTCAAACTTGCATCTATATCCTAGAAGAGCAGGTGCTATGTGACCATAAAACCTTATGATAATCCTTTGAGATAATCAGATATTAACCCACACCCTTGACTAAAAATGAAGAAGTCCAAGCCCCTCTTTAAATCTTTTAATTCTTAGGCATAACCATAATTTATAAAGGGAAACTGAGGTGCATGACAAGAGTATGAGTTGGTGATTTAAAACCTTAGGCCAGTTTTTAAAAAGGCAGATCACAGAAGGGAAAGCAAGCACGATCTTGAAAGCTGAAAAAAACAAGATGGCATATCTACCCTTCAGACCAGCAAGGCTGCAGAGTTTGACAGAATTCAATGTGGCCACATTCATTCTGTGGAGAGATGGACTGCTGTTCATTCCTGGTGGGAGTGTGAATTGGTACCACTGTTTTGGAGAGAATTCTAACAGTAATCATTTTAATATGAATATTAAAATAAATATTCATAATCCATCATGGGATTAGAAGATAAACATTTAGACCCTTTGAGCCCACAGGTCTACCCCAGTATCTCAGAAATAACCTGCTTTTCTGAATGAGGACATATGAAGGACTTTCATTTTCTATATTATATCTGTAATGTTTGACCTTTTGGGGCGAACAAGCATTAATTTTACAAGCAGAAAAAAGATCTTTTAAAAACTTATGGTTATAAGAGTGATGTGTTTGATGAGATTTTTGTTAGTTGGTCCTAAAAGTCACCTGCTTAAGAAAGCAAATTCCTGTTCAAATCTAAGTAGAAAACAGTACTCTGTCGTCTTTGTACCATCTGCTCCCACGCTAGGAACCCACTATTGCCTTTCTGTTTTAGGGAGCCATGCTTACGGGTCCTCCTGGTACTGGAAAGACACTTCTTGCCAAGGCGACTGCAGGAGAGGCCAGTGTGCCCTTCATCACCGTGAATGGGTCCGAGTTCCTGGAGATGTTTGTTGGTGTTGGGCCAGCAAGGGTAGGTGGATGGGAGGCTGCTGCAGGCAGTTACAGTGCTATGCCTTGACCAGGACTGATCAACTCAAATAGCTTGATGTGGAGCCCTGGCCATGGGCACATGTGGGAGGTGCTGGTGCATCCAGGCAAACAGGTTAGAGGTTTCAGAGGAGAGGGTGGAAGAAGAACCAGTGTTCATAAACAGTCTGTAGCAAAACAGACTCTTTTTTTTTTTTTTGAGTTGGAGTCTCTGTTGCCGAGACTGGAGTGCAGTGGCCACTCCTGGCCACTGCAACCTCCACCCACTGGGCTCTGGCGATCCTTCCGCCTCAGCCTTCCGAGTAGCCGGAATTACAGGCACATGCTACCATGCCCAGCTGATTTTTTTGATTTATTGTAGAGATGAGGTCTTGCCAAGTTTCCCAGGCGGGTCTCAAGCCTGTGGGCTCAGGCAGTCCACTCACCTCAGCCTCTCAAAGCACGGGATTACAGGCTGAGCCACCGAGCCTGGCTGCAAAACAGACTCTTTATGTGGATTCTTGTTTGCAGGTTCGTGACATGTTTGCAATGGCCCGAAAAAATGCTCCGTGTATCTTATTCATTGATGAGATTGATGCGATTGGCAGGAAGCGAGGCCGTGGGCACTTTGGAGGCCAGAGTGAGCAGGAGAACACCCTGAACCAGATGCTTGTGGAGATGGATGGTGAGTGTGCTCTACAGTGACAGTCCTAGAGTGTGGCACTGCCTGCAGGTGCTTAGGAAATGTTTGGACCCTTCCCCAGCCTTATTTCTTTTTCTTTTCTTTTTTTTTGAGTTGGAGTCTATTGGCCAGGCTGGAGTGCAGTGGCACACTCATGGCTGCTGCAGCTTCAACCTTCTGGGCTTAGGCAATTCTTATGCCTCAGCCTTTCAAGCAACTGGAACCATAGGCACATGCCACCACACCCAGCTGATTTTTTTTTTTTTTTAATTGTAGAGACAGGGTCTCGCTATGTTGCTCAGGCTGGTCTCAAACCCCTGAGCTCAGGCAATCCTCTTGCCTCTGCCTCTCAAAGTGCTGGAATTACAGGTGTGAGCCAGCCCCCAGCCTTTTTTCTATAAAGACATCCCCTTGAAGAGAATCTTGGATTATTCTGATTTTGAGGAAGGCTACTCTCAGGCAAACTTGATGGAGAAGGCTGTGTACACAGTGTCCCCCAGTTCTCAATAACATGGTGAAAGATGTGGTCACCTGTCCCAGCAGGAGGGCTAGCTGGTTGTTGAGAGGCCTGCTTCTCGGGTGGATGAGCACCAGTGCCCCTGATGCTGCTCCTTCCACTCTGAGCCTTGTCCTGCTGCTTTCTTCCTCACCCAGAATCTCAGATACCCAGGCCTGCCTCATCCCAAAGTGATTCTAGCTAAGATGTGACCTATCACCTGTTAACCCTGTGGAAGTTTCATGGGACATATGTAGGCAGTTGTGCCAGTTTTTGAATTTGGAAAAGTTTTCACTAGACCTTTGGCAGTTTTTTTTTTCACTTTGACTTTAGGGCCTTGTTGGGGTCTTTAAGACCACCCTGGGTTTGGTGACTTGCAGGAGGAGTCACAGGATTCAGCACACAATTGTACTCATGGCTGTAATTTATTACCATGAAGAGACACAGCCACATCAACCAGGGGAGAAGTCTGAGGGAGACAGGCACAGTTTCCAGAGTCTTCCCCTGTGGAGCCATCTGGGATGCACTTACTTTCCCCAGCATCATGTTGTGATCACATGTGCCAAATGTTGACCAGGAAGCTCATAAGAGACAGTCACTGGGTTCTTACTGGGTGCTGGTCATTTAAGCACCCTCTGCCTGGTGTACAATCAAAATTCTAGATGTCCAGGACATCTGCACAGATGGTTTGGGCACAGGGAGCTGTACTCATCAGAGAACTGGGGGAGTGCACCCAGAATCGCAGTTCCCGGACGCTGACCGTGCATGCAGGTCTTGCTGAGGACAGTCAGGACTGCTGCATCAACACTTTTTCTTCACAGGCCAGAAGCATTTCCAAAGTCTTATTGTCCTTGGTGTCCAACAGTAAATCTAATGAGATGATTGTTGTTTTGATATCTGGAGGGAACTGATTGGAGAGAAGAGGAAATGGGGCACCCAGCCTTCCTCCTCCCCTGCCCCTCTGCTGGGCATCCCATTCTCTGTGCAGCACTTATGTGCCCTCATCCACTCCAGCACCATGTGGTGTCAGAGGCTGGCAGAAACCAGGAATGAGTCAGGATGAGGAGTCCCATGCCGAGGGACTTGCCTGCACCCCTGGAGTTAGGCTATGGGGCAGTTAGCTGAGGCATGTCTGGTTACCTGCTTCAGTTAGCTGAGGCATATCTGGTTACCTGCTGGTGAAGACTTGCCTCAGTGGAAGAGTGAGGAACTGCGAGAAGTTTGAAAACTGGAGGTGAGGCCTTTGTGAGAGAGTCCTTCCTAGGGAGGGACCCTTTGGGTCAGCCCTGGACTTAGGTGGCTAGACAGGGGCCTCATGCCTGACTCATGGCCCCCTGCAGTGGGGTGTGGAGCAAGCAGAAGGAAAAGCAGAGACAATGTGGGCTGACCAGTGGACAGTGACTCTAGAAGCTCAGGGACAGGTGTGCAGAAGGGCATTGGGAGATGATCTTAGGAGCAGGGAGACACCAGTGCTGGTCCAGGCCCCTGTGGGGGCATGCACACATCGGGCTCTTACCACGGGCTCACTTGCTTCTTCTGTGTCCAGGGTTCAACTCTACTACAAACGTTGTGGTGCTGGCCGGCACCAACCGCCCTGACATCCTTGACCCAGCCCTGATGCGGCCTGGCCGGTTTGACCGCCAGATTTATATTGGTGAGTGTGCCTCACTCAGGTTTGGGCTTTCATCCTTTGGGTTAAAAGTTTGGTTGGGTCATTGGGTGTGTGTTTGGAGGAGATTTTGGTAGCAATCCTGAAACAATTAGTGCAACATTTTGAAAATGTGGATATGCGTGAGTGCCCCAAGTCGCTACAGTTGTCCTCTTTTTGGGAAGAATAGATGTGATTGTGTATGCAGAAATGTCACTGCAGGGATGTAAAGATACATATTCTCCAGCTTTTTGTTTGTGCTGTTATAAAAATTGGGTAGTTAAGAAGACAAGAGTTTATCCTTTGCCCTTTACCCTGACAGTCAGATGTCTCCATCTTCTTTCTGTCTTTTCACATTTGTTAGGAAATATAAATCTTTTGTGGATGCCCCCTGCTGCCCAGGGCAGTCCTTATGTTGCTCGTTGTGAGGCCAACGGTCCTGGGAATGGATTTACTGTTCACCAAAGGCAGCACAGCTAGAAAGGTGTTTAAATATGGTGTGGAGCCAAACACATGAGCACCTGGGGCTGTTTCTGCCATTGCTCCTGGCTGTGGTCACATGACCATGACAGGGAACTATATGGGAAGTCCAGGCTCCCCGCAGTTTTGTGAAGTGTCTGTGGGTGCTATTTGAAGGCACAGAGAGCACGAGGACCTGCATCTATCTCTCTCTCTCTTTTGTTAGGTCCCCCTGACATCAAAGGCAGGTCCTCTATCTTCAAGGTCCATCTGCGCCCCCTGAAGTTGGATGAGAGCCTTGGTAAGGACGCCCTCGCGAGGAAGCTGGCGGTGCTCACCCCTGGCTTCACTGGTAAGTGTTGGGGACTGTGCCATTCCCCCGTGGTGGGAACCATGTATCCTCAGCTCTTGGTCACAGTGGGTGGTTACTGGTTGACCATTTAGTTATGGCAAGTGCTAACCTTTGTCTTTGGAACTTTCAACCCATTGAGATAGTTCAGAGGACTCAGAGATCGTTTTTCTTAGCCCAAGAACTGATTTGTGCCCTTCTGAATTTCTGTTCTAATTCTGTTCAGACTTAAGTCTGTACTGCAGAGACCCAACTGATATGTGAGGAGAGATTCACTGAAGGGATGCCTTGTGTTGTCCTTTAGCCTTGGGCTTGAGCTCCTAGCTGGAGAGGCTCCTCTGCTTTTCTCCCCCCCCACCTCTTTTCTTTTCTTTTTTTAATGAAAACCCAATCTCCTATTCAAGGAAATTTGCTTCCCCACCTGGGTGGTTTAAGCCCTGGGAGTGAGTGGGCACTTTTGCAGGGGCTTCCTGTCCAGCTTGCCCTTACTCAGCAACCTTGGCAAGCCTCTGTCTCAAGGTTAGGCAGCAGGCCATGGCCAGGGCTCTCATCCACACCCACCTGCTCCTGCCATGCCCAGAACATTCCATAGTGGAGTCTCATCCCCTCCATCCCTCCCTGGGCTTCCCACAGTGTCCTGCCCAGTTCTGGGTCAGGTGTAGTCTCACCCCGGAGTGGACATCTGCCACAGCATGATGAGTGAGGAGGACTTGCCAGGCTGGCACGTGGAGGACATCACCTGCCTTGTGCCCAGAATGTGCTGCCTGCCTCTTCTTTCCCTTGGCAGACTTCGGATGTCTATTTACATAAATTACCCAGACTGTTTTCCCTGCCCCACAGTGGGATGACTGCACTGCCACTCAGCCGAAGTGACTCAGCAGGATAATGGTACTTCCCTGCAGCAGGAATGAGTCTGCACTGCCCCTCAGCAGGGGTGACTCAGCAGGGTAACTCAGCCACCACCTCACAGCAGGGGTGACTCAGCAGTATGGCTGCACTGCCCCACAGCAGGGTTGACTCAGCAGTATGACTGCACTGCCCCACAGCAGGAGTGACTCAGCAGGTTGACTCTGCACTGCCCCACAGCAGGGATGACTTGGCAGGATGACTTGACTGTGTACTGCCCCACAGCAGGGATGACTCAGCAGGATGACTCTGCCCTGCCCCACAGCAGGGCTGACTTGGCGGGATGACTCTGCACTGCCCCAAAGCAGGGATGACTTGACTGTGCACTGCCTCACAGCAGGGATGACTCAGCAGGATGACTACACTGCCCCACAGCAGGGATGACTCAGCAGGATGACTCTGCACTGCCCCTTGGCAGAACTGATTCAGCAGGGATGACTCGGCAGGATGACTCTGCACTGCCCCCACAGCCGGGGTGACTCAGCAGGCACGAGTCTGCACTGTCCTAAGTGGAAACACCCTAATGTCCACTGGTAGATGCATGGTAAAAAACTGGCATAGACTATGATAGAATATCATTCAGCTGTACTGATGCATGCTACAACATGGATAAACCTGGAAGATATTCTGAGTACAAGAAGCCAGACACAAAAGGGCATATGTTGTATGATTCTGGTTATATGAAATGTGCAGAATAGCAAATCTTTAGAGACAGAGGGTAGTGGTTTGTAGGGGGTGGGAATAGAAATGACCCATAAATAGGCACAGGATATCTTATGGAGATGATGGAAGATGTCCTAAAACTAGATTATGGCAGTAGTTGCACAACTTGATATGTTTACTAAAAATCATTGACAGATAGAATGGGTGGATCTCATGCTATATAAAGTATACATCAATAAAGTTGTATAGCAAAAATCTTAGCTAAAAATAGTAGTGACTGATGGACGGAGCAGCTCCCATCACCTTTAAGTTCTCTGCTTCAGCCTTGTCCTCTCTGCAGGAAGTTTTCCTTCAGCAGAACTGATCTGGGTTGCTCTCCAGGAGCCAGGAGCAGCATTGACTGTTGACTGTTCCTCCTTTCCTGGGGCAGGTGCTGATATTTCTAATGTTTGCAATGAAGCAGCTCTGATTGCTGCGCGCCACCTGAGTTCTTTCGTTCAGGAGAAGCACTTTGAGCAGGCCATCGAGAGGGTCATTGGAGGTGAGCCGCCAGCCCTCTGGGAGGGAGGGGCATTTCCACCTCTGATCTCAGCAAGCTCAACTTCTGGTCCTGCATCACATCCTCATATAGGAACTGGGACCAGTTTTCCAAATGAAAATTTGGGACTTGAGATCTCCCAGCAGTTTTTGTGCCCCTTCTGGTAGTAACATTTAGAACTTCAAAGGGATGGGACTTCCAGGTCACCAGGGATCTGGGGAAACAGATTAGAAGCAGGTTTGGATGTGGGCTGTGGTGGATAGAGCAGTCTTATCCCCTGAAGGGAGCGGGAGGAGAGTGAGAATGGATGTTGTTTCCTGGGAAAGGCCTTGTGAAAGCTGCAAGGGACTGTCCCTTGGCTCCTGTTGCCTGGCCTTTCTTGGGACAGCACTGTTGTAAGAGGAGTGGACGTTAGTGCTTTTCCTTCAGCTTGGGAGAGCTGTGTCAGTCTCCATTTTCAGCTCAGCAGACTGCGGTGAGGTGGGTTACAGCCTCCTCCTGCAGTTACAAAGCTCAGGTGGGCCAGCCTGGTGAACTGGAGTCAGCTGTGGGGAAAGGTCTGCCAGACCAGGAGAGGCCGATGTTGTGTTGGTTGGTCTGGCTCTGCCTGGTGCTGTCTGGGCACTGTCCTTGCCGCTTTGTCTTCATCTAAGTTTTTTTTTTTTTATAGCTGGGGATCTCTCTCTGCCACCTAGGCTGGAGTGCAGTGGCATAATCACGGCTCACCTCAGTCTCAACCTCCTGGGTTCAGACAGCCCTTCCACTTCAGCCTCCTAAGTAGCTGGGACTGCAGGTGCACAGCACCATGACTGGCTAATATATATATATATATATATTTTTTTTTTTTTTTTAAATTTATTTTTTTTTTAATTTTTAAATTTTTTTTGAGTTGGAGTCTCACTCTGTTGCCCAGACTGGAGTGCAGTGGCATACTCACGGCCACCGCAGCCTCGACCTGCTGGACTCAGGTGATCCTTCTGCCTCAACCTTCCAAGTAGCTGGAACTATAGGCATGCATCACCATGCCTGACTAATTTTTTGATTTATTGTAGAGATGATTTACCAAGTTGCCCAGGCTGGTCTCGAACCCATGGACTCAGACAATCCTCTCGCCTCAGCCTCCCAAAGTATTGGGATTATAGGTGTGAGCCACCGCACCTGGCCAATTATTTATTTATTTTTTTTTTTGAGTTGGAGTCTCACTCTGTCGCCCAGACTGGAGTGCAGTGGCCACTCCCGGCCACCGCAGCCTCGACCTGCTGGGCTCCGGCGATCCTTCCGCCTCAGCCTTCCAAGTAGCCAGAATTACAGGCACGCACTACCATGCCCGGCTGATTTTTTGATTTATTGTAGAGATGAGGTCTTGCCTGTCCAGGCGGGTCTCGAACCTGCGGGCTCAGGCAATCCACTCACCTCAGCCTCCCAAAGGCGCGGGATTACAGGCTGAGCCACCGAGCCCAGCTTTAAATTTTTTTATAGAGACAAGATCTCTCTATATTGCCCAGGCTGCTCTCAAACTCTTGGGTTTAAACAATCCTCCCTCCTTGGCCTCCCAGAGTGCTAGAATTCCAGGCGTGAGCCACCACACCTAGACTTTACTTTTTGTTGAAGTGTAACACATACAGAAAGTACTTATGATATCGAGCAGCCCAAGTCAGGTAACCAGGGCTTCCTGAAGGCTGTCCTGGGTGCTCTGGTATGTGAATTATTTAGGGTAGTCAGAGCAGGGCTGGTCATGCAGTCTGTGTCTCTTTTTTGTCCTGTTACCTGCCCATACTCTGGGCTGTTAGGACACTGGAAATCATCCTTCTCTGTCCCACCATGCCTTGGAGTCACTTTTAATCAAGCCCCAGGATACAGTGCCTTTCATGGCTCACACACAGCTATTCCCATTGGCCTAACACAGGCCTTGTAAATTAGGCCACCGCGTGTGAGGTGTGTGGGTGGTGCCTTCTGCAGAGCTGAAAGGTAAGGTCTTCCTGCAAAGTAGAAAGCAGTGTGGAGTGAGCTAGGCGCCGTGGCTCATGCCTGTAATCCCACTTTGGGAAAGTGAGGTTGGAGAACTGCTTGAGGCCAGGAGTCCAAGACCAGCCTAGGCAACATAGTGAAACCTTATTTCTACAGAAGGTAAAAAAATTATCTAGCCAGGCACAGTGACTCATACCTGTAATTGCAGCACTTTAGGAAGCTAAGGTGGGAGGATTGCTTGAGCCCAAGAGTTCAAGACCAGTCTGGGCAACAGTGAGACCCCAACAAAAAAATTATCTAGGGGCGGTGGCTCACACCTATAGTTTCAGATACTTGGGAGACTAAGGCTGGAGGATGACTTGAGCTCAGGAGTTTGAGACCAGCCTAGGCAATGAAGTGAGGCCCCGTATCTACAAAAAATTTCTAAAAATTAGCTGGGGCCAATGGGTCATGCCTGTAGTCCCAGCTTCTTGGGGGGCTGAGGAGGGGGGAATTACTGAGCCTAGGAATTCAAGGCTGCAATGAGCTAGGATTGTACCACTAGCTGAGGCTGGGCCTCTCCGCTGTCTCATGTAGAGAGACAGCCAGGTGCTGGGCCAGATCTTGGGGATTGGGTAAAGTAGTAGACACGGTTTGGGAGTGGAGGGAGTAGAGATGTGACACCATTCCCAGCTACCCACTCCTCCCTACTTGCCTGGGAATGTGATCTGTAGGCCTTGAGAAGAAGACCCAGGTCCTGCAGCCCAGTGAAAAGACAACTGTGGCCTACCATGAAGCGGGACACGCGGTGGTGGGCTGGTTCCTGGAGCATGCGGACCCCCTGCTGAAGGTAGGTCTCTCTTCCCTAAGCAAGTCTACCCACTGGGCCCAGGGCTGGCCTCTGGGCCTGGGTCCATGTGTCAGCTCGTGGTCATGTGGGCACAGTTCATTCAAGGGGATAACCCTTTGACTTTTTTTTTTTTTGAGTTGGGAGTCTCACTCTGTTGCCCAGGCTGGAGTGCAGTGGCATGCTCACAGCCACCACAGCCTCGACCTGCTGAGCTCAGGTGATCTTTATGCCTCAGCCTTCCAAGGGACTTTAAGGATACACTGGTCTAGAATTTGTCAAATGATCCATTTGGGAATGGGAAGGCAGAGCAGGGAGTGTTGGTTCCAGGAAGGGCCTTGGCCGTCTGCCTCCATAGGAAAGTTTTGATATTGAACTTGCTCCTGAGCTTTGGATCTGACCCTAGGGCCCTTCCCGAACCTCTGCAGGGCAGACAGGACAGAGGTGTTTTTCCGTGTGAGCCTCCTGAGCTGGAGCTCCTTGAGGTGGGTGGATGGCGGGCCCAGGTCAGGCTTTCTTCTCTCATGCTCCTGTAAAGGGACCTGTGGCCGGAGCTGGGGCAAGGTGGATATGGGGGCTCCAGGGCAGCTCCTGGAGAGGATGGGGTGTGGCGTTTGGGGGTGACGTGAGTGAGTCTTCTGTCCTGCAGGTATCTATTATTCCCCGGGGCAAGGGACTCGGCTACGCGCAGTACCTGCCCCGAGAGCAGCACCTCTACACGCGGGAGCAGCTCTTTGACCGCATGTGCATGATGCTGGGAGGCAGAGTAGCCGAGCAGCTGTTCTTTGGGCGCATCACCACGGGGGCTCAGGACGACTTGAAGAAGGTCACCCAGAGTGCCTATGCCCAGGTAAAGGGCAGGTGACCTCAGTGCGTGGCTGTGGGTGGCTCAGTTGGCACAGGCTCACCCAGGCCCCATGCACTTCCAGGTTGTGCAGTTTGGGATGAGTGAAAAGCTGGGCCAGCTGTCCTTTGACTTTCCCCGACAAGGTGAGACCCTGGTGGAGAAGCCGTACAGCGAGGCGACTGCCCAGCTCATCGATGAGGAGGTCCGGTGCCTTATCAGTGCCGCCTACAAGCGCACCCTGGACCTGCTGACACGGTGCCGGGAGCAGGTGGAGAAGGCAAGTGGGCCAGGTCCTGGGTCACATGTCGGGTCTTGGTTGGCCATGGCCATCCGGGTCCTGCTCAGGTTTGGGCTGGCTTTGGCATTGCCTGCTACGCGCAGCCAGGAGCAGACCTCAGAGTAGTCTGACCAGTGGGTCATCATTTCCAGGTTGGCCAGCGGCTCCTGGAGAAGGAAGTGCTGGAGAAAGCCGACATGGTGGAGTTGCTGGGCCCCCGGCCTTTTGCAGAGAAGTCCACCTACGAGGAGTTTGTTGAGGGTACTGGCAGCCTGGAGGAGGACACGTCCCTACCCGAAGGGCTGAAGGGCTGGAACCAGAGGCGGGAAGATGGGGACATGGAGCAGCTTGTGCAGGAGAACCCTGGGTAGCCTGTATGCAGTGGCTACCAGGACCGACTGCTGGATGGGACTGTGGGAGATGACTGCTTCCCCAGAGCCTTTAAGCAAAGCAGCTGCACAGTCACCAAAAACAAATTAAAAGATGTGATAATCGCGAATGGGCATTTTAGATCAGGGTGCTCTGAACCCACAGGAAGGCAGCAGGAGGATGGGCAAGTCTGGGTCTGAGTCATAGGGGAAAGGCAGCAGGCTCTGACCCATGTGGGAGCCCTGAGTGTAGGATCCAGTGAGAGGCTTGTGTCAGGCGCTGAGTGGAGACAGGACATCAGGCTTCCTAGTCAGCCTGCCTCTTGCAGAGAAGTGTTCATGTGCATCCTTATAAAGTCCCTCAGAGGGGGAGTTTTGGTTCAGCCAGTACCCCTCAAGATTTGGTGAGGTAGAGTTCAGAAAAGGAGAATGTAAGACACCAAGGGAAAGTTAGGTTTCTTTTTTAAATTATGTATTAAAAAAATTTTTTTAAACTAAAAACAAAATCTTGCTATGTTGCCTAGGATGGTCTCGGACTGGGCTCAAGTGATCTTGCTGCAGCCTCCCAAAGTGCTGGGATTACAGACGTGAGCCACTGTGCCTGGCCACAACTTAGATTTTTTTTTTAGTTGGAATCTCACTTTGTTGCCCAGGCTGGAGTACAGTAGCATGCTCACAGCCACCGCAGCCTCAACCTGCTGAGCTCAGGCAATCCTTCCGCCTCAGCCTTCCAAAGTAGCTGGAACTACAGGCACGCGTCACCATGCCTGGTTAATATTTTGACTTATTGTAGAGATGAGGGCTTGCCAAGTTGCCCAGACTGGTCTTGAACTCAGGCAGTCTTCTTACCTCGGCCTCCCAAAGTACTGGGATTATAGGTGTGAGCCACCATGCCTGGCCCACAATTTAGATTTCTAAAGTAGCTGTTTGGATTGGCGGATGCTGATGTGCTGATCTGTCCTGAAGGAAAGCAAGCACCACCACAGTTGTGGCTGGGGGGAGGACAGGGAAGCCACGGGGGCTTCATACTTGGGTGCACCCATGCCTCGGGGTCCATGGCAGCACTGCTCTGGGCATGCCAGAGACTTGGTTTCCTGCAGAACCTGCATCTGTTGGGCAGGGGTGCCTAACTGGCCAGGGTGTGCCAGATTTTAAGTCCATATGCCAACAAGCTTCTGTTCCCTGCGACCCTTTTTGTTGGGATTGTAGCGAGGGAGGTTCTAAGGGCCTTGGCTGGCTCTAGGGTGTTCATGGAGAGGCTGGACCCTCAAGTCTCAGCAGATGGCTGCCCCTGGCCCTGGTGCCTGTTTACACACCCTCTTCCTGGGGCTGGGCAGCTCCTGAATAAAAGGAAGGCCACTTCTGGGTTGTGAGCGTCAGGCTCTTGTGGTGCTTTTCCTTGTTGGTCTGGGGTGTGAGGAAGATCCAGTGCTGTGGGTCTTGGTGAGAATGTCCCTGCATGCTCTCCAGCACTGAGCCCACCACCTGCCCTCACTGGAATCAGCAGTCATGGCCATGAGCAATTTGCTGTGTCAACAGTAGCCTTGGGGTGGATGGATGGATGTCTGGGCCACCTGGGACAGCCCATGACCCAGGGGAGATGTTCTTTGGGCATCTGGGTGAGTGGCTGGGTCGAGACAGGGGCTTTACTTGTTATACCCACATACCTGTCTACTCTCAGCTTCTCTTGAGGTCTAAGCCACACCAGACACTGGAATTTTGTAGTACCTTTTCCAAATCATTTGTTATGTTTGCATTAGACCCTTAAACATAGAATTTCCAACTGAGAACAAGTATGTTTAATATTTGCTGTTTGTAAAATGCACCTCATTGACTTTAAAAAAAATTTTTTTTGAGTCAATGTCTCACTCTGTGGCCTAGGCTGGAATGCAGTGGCAGAAACCCAGCTCATTGCAGCCTCGAACCCTTGGGCTCAAGTGATCCTCCCACCTTAGCCTCTTGAGTAGCTGGGACTACAAGCATATGCCACCACACCTGGCTCACACTATTGGATTTTGAAAATCTCCTGGATCAACCTGTATTATGGCCTCCACCAAATCCAGAGCAGCTGAGTCACTTGGGTTCTTTTGGGATCTGGTCTTGGGGTTCTCTCAGATAGGAGTAGGGGTGTTCCCTCAACCCCAGAAAGCCTCTGTAACATCGAAGCATCTGTGGCAGGGCCTCCAGGGTACAGTGTGTTTGTGGGAGGTTACAGCCCTGGCCCACCTTTGGAGCTGGCCCCTGCAATGACTGATCCAGCCAATGGTTCCCACCATCACACCTGGGAGAGCCTGGGGGTGTGTCTCATCACCTCCCAGCTGGTTGTGCTTGCTTGGGGCCCTTTGTGATAGTCTGAGAGTGGGCCTCCACACCCTGTCTGACCACATCTGAGCTGTTTCTTCTTTGGCGCTTTCCTTCGCCTCCCCTTGTTAGGTCTGGTTACACCACCTTCCCCTCCAGCCTCCTTGCCTGTGTCCTTCATAAGTTGTTCCTTCTATAAGTCTGGAACAGTCTCACCGTCTGACTTGAACACACCGTTTTCCACTGTCTCTTCCTGTCCATCCTGAGTGACTCACAGTTTGTCCTTGTCAGCCCGTCAAGTGATGGCCCAGCCGAGCAGAGTAACACTTGTGGGTGCTGTCTACGCACAGCCTCACGCTGCTGCACTCTGCACCTAGGGGCAAAGGAGCCTTCAGCAGGTGGGAGCCTTCCCCAGGTGAGAGCTGGCTCTTGGCCAGGGTCAGTACTTCTCAGCCTGCCTACTGGAAAAGAAGGTGGAATGGGATGGAATGGGTGTGTGTGAGAATGTGCTGGAAGCTATGCACTCTTCCCAGAAAATACAACACTGACTTGGAGTCAGTTTCTGGGTCCATGGCCACAGGAGACCTGGCTGAGAATTTTCACGTGTGACGGGTCCAACCTTCCCTCCTCAGAGCCCAGTGGGGCCGGACATGGAGCCCTGTGGGCCAGGCAGAAAGCAGGTCACACCTGGCCGTTCACCTTGTAATGACAGTGGGCAGGTGTTCTGGCTTCATTTGTGGTCCTCTGGTGCTGCCCTGTGACCAGAGCCTGTGGCTTCTGGGACCTTATTCTTGGGAAGAGCTGTCACTGGGGCGTAACTGTCTGCTCCCCTTAATGGGCTCATGTGGGGCAGGATTTTCACTTCCTTAATGGTTCCCTTTGTTGTATTATGGAGGGACTGGCAGTCCAGGGAACCCCAAAATGTGACCCAAGGGAGCCAGCCTGGAGCACAGAGAAGCCCTCAGCAGCTTCTGCAACTGGAGAGTGGCCAGAGGGCATGGAGTTTCACCCCAGGGCAGCCCACTCCATGCCCCTCGGGCCCTCAGCAGGCACCCATGTGCAGTGGTGTCAGAAAGGAAGAGACTGCGGCCAGGCCCTCTGATGCGGGGTGACACTTTAATCCCACTCTTTGTAAAGAGATCTATGGAAGCTGCAGCAGGAAGGATGGAAATGGGCGGAAGACCCTGGTGGGTGAAGGGTGGCCAGGGGCACACGGCTGCCTTTATGGGATTGAAAGGGAAGCTGCTCGGTCTGTGTGATGGAACACAGGGATGGTCTGGGAGGGAACTGGGTTTGCCAGCAGTGCAGAGGCCCGGGGGTTGGAGTCCAGAAGTGGGAGCAAGCACAAGCTGGTCCCCTCCAGAGGAGTCCGATGAGAATAGGGACCAGGAACCTGTTTTCTTCCCCCAGAAACGTTTTCTTCATGAGAAACGAGGCAGGGCAGTTTGGGGACAAGAAGCAAGCTCAAACTTTCATACTAAGACCATTCGTGGACTTGCTGTCAGGCAAGAAGCCTGTTCTGGAGGGGATGAGCTGGGTGCAGAGATGTCCCACAGCAGCTTCTGCAGCTGGAGGATGGCCAGAGGGCCTGGAGTTTCACCCCAGGGCAGCCTACTCCATGCCCCTCGAGCCCTCAGCAGGCACCTGTTCACCCTCAGCAGAGAGGGTGGGGCCTGTTGGCTTCCCTTGCCACTCCAAGGACACAGACCTACAGGGACCCGTGGGCCCCAAAGCTGCTGAGTGAGACTAAGGGCCACTGTGGGCCATGCACTGGGTCATGGGGTGTGGAGAACAGACATGAGGCTGTGCCTCATAATGATGCAGGACCCCACCCCACGAGCAGTCCAGGTGTCAACCGCGGTTCTGAGGCAGTCTGGCGATATTTGGTGTTCTGAGCTAAGGAGGAGATGGGCTGGGCCCTTGCCTGTCACACGCAAGGACCAAAAGAAGCGGGTGCAAGTCTTAGAGTGGAGCCAGGGAAGGGGACCCTGGTGCCGACATTCGACCATGGGGCAGGGGCAGGATTGAAATCAAGGTGGACATTAATCATCACTGCTCTGCTGGACAACAGAGCATCCCATCATCTACCAAATCCACCTCTGACTTCTGAGCATGGCAGCCTGGGAAAACCCTCGGGTTCTTGGAGTGACTCTTGTAGGCCGAGGTCCCCTTCATCCCAAGCCACCGTTGCTCGCTCCACACCTTGTCTCATCCTGGGCAGTTACTCCAGGGTGCCACCAACCTGATCCGGGGCCCAGGAGCAAGCTATCTGTAAGGCCACTGGGCTGTGCTTGTGTTCTGGCTCCCAGAAGCATCTAGGGGTCCAGTGTGTCCTCCAGGGAAGCCTGCTGGCCTCCGAGGGAGGCCCAGGGACCGGCAGGGAGCCTCTTTTGGTGGTATCCCAACCCTGACTCACTGTCAGGAGGTGATGGTAGGGGCCTCGGGAGGGTGAAGTGTGTCCGTGGGGCCAAGACTGCCCAGGTTTGCCATTGTGGTGGTGGTCTGGCCCCAGCCATGCCGTGGCTCAAGACTGGTGGAGAGGGCCTAGTCCTCCTTGGGCCTCTCCACGGTGAGAAACGTGTCCAGGATTGCGGCCTGCCGCTCAGGGTCCCCTAGGGGCTGCTTCTCACGGTTCTTTTCAGCTCTTGTCCTTGTCCAGGAGGGGGAACGCAGGCAGCCGGCCCGGGGCAGTGGGTGCAGACCTGGGGAGGACACGGGAGGTGGAATTCCACACAGCCGAGGCCTGGGGTGGTTGCGTCGCGTGTCCTGCCAGCCTCCTGGGTCCCTCCTGCCAATATGCTATACCAGCCCCCCCAACCCCCCTCCTGCACAGTGAAGTCCCCTGGACGTACAAGATGTGGAAGATGGCCTAACCAGAGATAATGGATATTGTGACCTGGGCAGGGTCTTCTCTTATGCCTCTTGGAGAGTCACTGTGTAGCCCAGGCCTCCTCTTCATGTGAATTTGATTCTGGCTACTTCTGTTTGGTCATGCAGCGACCCTGGTGGGGCCACCCAAAGCCCTCACAGCAGCCCAGAGCATCCTACAGGCCTCACAGCCTCTGCCCTTCGCAATCTTGTTATGTGGCTCTGGGCATGTGTCCTGCCAGCCCCACCCACCCTCCTCCCCAGCCACAGCAGCCACAGCTGGCGTTGGCCCAGCACACACCTGTGGGTTCCTGGGCTGGGTGGGGTGGGAAGGGTTGTGCTAGGTAAAACAGTGGAGCTGCTGGGAGTCAGCTAGAGTTGGGTATAGGCTTGTCCTGGAGGTGAGCTTGGGGCTGCCATCCCAAGAGGTGGAGCCAGGCCCAGTTCTGGGTCCCCCCCAGATACCAGAGCCACTGTCATACCTGGGAGCTCACAGCACCCAGAGACACACAGCTAACACCCCATCCCTGATGCCTCCAGAGGGATCAGCTGGTCACCGGCAGGACTCCCAGTGGGGCTGGTGCCTTAAATGCAGCCTTTAGTGGCCTGGGGGTAGAGAAGCAAAGGCTAGGCCAGCTGTCCAGTAGGAGAGGGCCCAGCGCCTGTGCTCTGCCCACCCCACTCCACAGCCCAAAGTGAGCAGTCTGAATTCACACAGGGTCTCATGGATGTCCAGCCGGTCACTGTTGGAAGAGACCAAAGGACATGCTCACGTGTTCCCACTAGACAGACAGTGAATCCTGTGTGCTGGTCACAGGGCTTGTGGGGACACGAAATGACACGCTGTGGGGCTCTGGGCCCTGCAGGCATGGAGCGTGAGCAGAGATGAGTTGCCCTCAGCCAGTGGTGGTGCTCCCTTGGGAGCCAGATGGGAAACCAAGTTAGTGAGCTTAGGCCCAGGCCACCGATTTCCCCATTCTTGTGCTTGGCCTAAGTTATGATTACAATTCACATTTAGTAAATTCTGCTTTTGGTGGGACGGTGGCTTTGCCCCTTTGTTGCTTATTTGGAAAATAAAGTTTAGGAGCAGCAGCTAGATGGGCAGATAGATATTGTGAAATGCAATGGCAAATGAAGTGGTGGGTGACAGGTTCTTATTAAACACATTAGAGATGACTCGGGCTTTCCCAGGGGGCTTAGCCCACCACTTCCTATGCCGACGCCAGCCTCACCTGCCGGAGACTCACTGGTAAGGTTCTCATCATCTGAGTCAGCAAAGACCTCGGCCAGCTCCTGGTCAGACATGTCGGTCAGCTCGGTGAGGTCCAGGAGGTCAAAGTGGACCTCCAGGGAGGAGACGCTGCTCAGGGGCTCTGGGGGCAGAGAGGGCACAGTCACCCCACGCCCTTCCAACAAGACTGCGCAGAGCCCCGAGAGGCCTGGGAGAGGGTGCTTTATTATCCCATGAGGCTCATGGGTGAGCCATGACTTCCTGTAAAGTTTGGTAGGATAGATCAGGGCAAACCTGAACTCTAGGGCGTGTGCTCTGCACTGGAGACTAGAAAGCTTTCTGAGGCCCGGAGAGCCAAAGCTGTGAGAGCTCAGCACTCAGCACTGGACCCACACCCCAGGGAGTGTTGGGACAGGATGTGGACCCTGCTGTCTACTGTCCTGGGGGAGCTCACAGGGTCCCCATGGAGTGGGCTGGGTGGGTCAGCCATACTTACGCCTCCTCTCCGTGACCTGCAGGAGCCCTGGAGCTGGTATTGGGATGCCCACCTCCTCCTCCACCACAGGCATGTGGCAGCTGTCCCCTGTCCCATGGGCTGGGACACCTAGGGCAGCCTGTGGCACCTCAACCTCCTTAACGATCTCTACAATCAAAGACACAGGCGTTACCTTGATACCCTCGGGTCCCACATCCTACTCAGGACGCAAGGTCAGGGGAACCTGAGTACTTGGCACGTCAGGTCCTTTGAAGCTCTGGTGCCCAGGTATGGCTGGGACTAGCCTCAGGCTAGGACCCTGGACAGGGAGGCAGCTCCTTCCCTCGGCTTGGCCTTCTAGTGGACGGGGAAGAACCACCTGAGGTGCTCAGGCACCCAGAGTGCACTGTGCAGGCCTTGCCGTGGAGGTTCCATGTGGTCCCTTCAGCTCAGTGCTCCGTGCCTTGTTTTTGCCAAGCCCAGGGCCCCAGGAAGGGTCACTTGGGGATTTCCATGCTCAGCCTCTTTGGTTCCCTTCAGTGCAACATGACCCCTCTCCTGTCCTTCCTCCATGGACTGACTTCCTTTTAAAAGCCTATGCCATATTTGAGTTCAGAGTGATACATTCTCAAAGTAAGTGAAAGTCATGACACGCCGGGGATGCCCCAGGCCTGCCATGATGCAGTCCCCCGGCCACCACACCGCACAGCTGGTGAATGTGCTTCCACGTTCCATACAAAATATTTTTTAAAAATTGCAATGACTTTTTTTATATTTGACAATTTCTTTGTCAGATTAAAGCAGCAGGCGCCTTGGTGATCTGCTGGGTGGGGACAGTCTGAATTCCTCTGTCCAGAAGATCCCAGAGCCTTTGCAGCTTCCCGTCATCTCACTGTGGCCACTGTCAGCTCAGCAGCCCCTGGCTCACCACACGCAGTTGGGGGGGGGTACTGTAAGTGGTCAGGCCTGTACCCTGGGTGCACCATCTCCTTGGCTCTGGCCCTACAGCTCCACCTCAGAAAAGCAGTCACCTCCCTGACCACCACCCCTACGGCCCTAGCCCCCCTTACTAGATGTCCTAGCTGGTTCCCAGTCCCATCACAGGCAGGGGAGGGCTCCTTCCCTGCCTGCTGCATCTCCATCTGAGTGGTGCTCAGTATATACCTGTCTGATAGATGAATGCCCTCCTGCTCCCACCAGCAGTGTCCATGAGGACTTATGGGGCATTTTTGTCAGCCCCGGCGGGGGAGCCCTGAGCACCGCTGGTGTGAATGAAGCCAACAGGACCAGCTGCTGCCACGAGTGCCACCGAGCCAAGACTCCCGTTACTGATAGCCATCTGTGAGGGATGGTCCTGTCTGCTGACGACACTGAGGCCAGCAGCCTGGATGCTGCCAGGTGGGATGGGGTGTGGAGTCTCTGGTCACCCCTCACCAGCTGAACCAAGGAAGCTGCAGTTCGATGGATGCCTGGCCTCCCCACCTGTACAAGGTGGTCCTGGTCCCGGCGGCGAGAGCCAGCAGTTCAGCAGAGCATCCTTCTGGCTGCAGCCTGTCTGGCTCTGCCTGGGACAGCCCTGTGGCCACACATCCCAGGTGGACGAGCTGCCTCCTCTTGGAGGCCCTGGGTGCTATGTCACTGCACACCCACTTTGGGCCTGGGGCTGGTGAGGCTGGACGGGGTGTGGGGGCTGGTTTCCATCTCTTCACTGGCATCTGTACTGTGGTTTCTGAACACCCTCGGAGGGTCAGGTTACATCCACCAGTGTCCTGGTCCACCTCTAGCCCAGCAATGACATCTTCCTGTCCAGAGGGCGCAGGATTGTGATGCAGACTGCTCTGGGTGTGAGCAGGGAGGAGGCTGCCTGAATCTCTATCCCGGGGGAGAGACACCCCCAGGAGACCTTGGGTCTCAGGAGGGATGGACCAGCGGCCTCAGGGCCCCCCTCCCCGAGTGTGCTCATGTCCCATTGGCTTGTGCCCTGGTCACAATTCCTAAATGTTTCCTCCCCGAGTGTGCTCATGTCCCATTGGCTTGTGCCCTGGTCACAATTCCTAAATGTTTCCACACAGCAAGGACCTGTGGTTGTGGCAGGCATGGCTCCAAACAGGTGGCAGGCTCAGGAAGGTGTTGTCACTGTCTGGAGCATCCCAATGGGGGAGGGGTGGAGCAAGGACTGCAGACCTGCTGGTCCAGGATGGAGCAGGCGCTGTCCCCAAGGAGCTCTGCAAGCCATGCAAGTGGGGAAATTGCAGTGCAGGGGGGAAAGCCACTTGCCAGGAGGCTGTGCTCTAGGGACCCCACTGAGGAAGGCCAGAAGGACACTCTTACCTCCCCAGGTTTACAGCCCAGGCATGTTCCCCCATGGACACCCTCCCCAGAGAAGAGGACCCTGGTGGCCCTAGCTCTACCTCTGCCCCTCTTCCATCTTGAAGGATACCACTTCCGATACAGAGAACTGCTATTTTCTGTCCATATTGCCACAGACCCTAGAGAGGGCATGACAAGTATTCGAGCATTCCTGTGCATACTCACATTCCTGGGAGTGAACAAAAGGTGTGCTTCTCCTTATCTCCTATGCATTCCCAGTAAGTAACTTCAAAGAACACTTTCCTGTAGACTGCCCAATTAACCGAGAGATGTAAATCCCTATTTATTCCCTTTTAGTAGTCAGAGGCTTGTATAACTTGTATCGATGAAATCATAAGTCTTGATGTCTTAGGCCCTGTTAACTCCCTTTACTCTCTGGCAAGCTTGATTAACGCTTCTGCTGGGTGTTACTGATAAAAAGCTGTGAGATACCTTTGGTAATGTGGACCATAAAATGTCATTATTGACAAAATGCGGCTTAGGTTACATACAATGCTCTGCTAGTCACACAGTGTATCGGTACCAACTACCCTGAACTTAAAAAAAGCAGACTGTAAAACTTGAAGGGTGAGCAGAACCATTTTAAAGAGGCCAAAAGCCCATTCTGCTCCCTAGATTCAAATTAAGAAACAAAACTCTGTGTGTGTGTGTGTGTGTGTGTGTGTGTGTGTGTGTGTTGGAGTTCACTCTGTCGCCCAGGCTGGAGTACAGCGGCATGCTCATGGCCACCGCAGCCTCAACCTGCTGGCTCAGGTGATCCTTCCGTCTCAGTCTTCCAAGTAGCTGGAACTATAGGCATGTGCCATCACGCCCGGCTAATTTATTTATTTACTTACTTATATATTGTAGAGATGATGTCTTGCCAAGTTGCCCGGGCTGGTCTCGAACTTGTGGGCTCAGGCAGTCCTCTCACCTTGGCCTCCCAAAGTGTTGGGATTTACAGGTGTGAGCCACTGCGCCCCACCTAACACAACTCCTTCAACCAGTTCCCTGCCCTTTGATTTATTGGTATCAAGGGAGAGCAGCCCAGTGTTATTCAGACCATAACACCTCTCTGGCAGTCCCCTGAATCAAGGAAACCTGCGGCAAGAGCATTCTGCAGAGGAACTCTAGACACTGAACCTCCAACCTGAGTAGGTGGCTCTGGGCTAATAATGCCAGCCAGTTCATGCCTACAGTCCCAGCAGAAGTGGGAGGATCGTTTGAGGCCAGGAGTTTGAGACCAACCTGGGCAACATAGCAAGACCTTTCTCTCTAAAAAGCAATAAAGCTCATAGTTTTCTGGTACTCCATGCCAGGCAGAGTCCCAGGATTCCATGTCTATCAACTAACTTCATCTCACCTAACTCTAACTCCAGCTTCAAGGGGAGCCTGAGTTGTGTGCTTTAGAGATGAGGAACCTGAGGCACAGAGTAGTAGAGTATGCGTGGGGTCAGGTTGGCAGAGGGAAAAGAAACCTAAGTTCGCTGGGCCCCACCCCAATTGGGACATGGATCTCAAAGAAGGTGGGACAGAGGTAGGGTTCATAGCCACCCTCTCTCTGGGTGGGGCCCCTTGTCTAGACAAGATGGCACCCATTCACTCATTCATTCATCCACCCATCCAAGACTTCCTAGTCACCCACTCTATTCTGGGGACGTGGCATGAACAAAACAGATGATTCCTGCCCTTCTCAGGGGTGGCAGTGGCAGGGGACAGTGGGAGCGATGCTCCCATTTTAGGGAGGAGCCAGGGAGAACACCCAACTGAGACTCGGAGGAGTTGGGGGAGTGGTGCACGTGATCTCGAGGGGAAAAGCCCTGGTGCCAGCATAGCATGTGCAGAGGCCCTGAGGGGAATGTGGCTGGCACCTGGGGGACAGCAAGAGCGGGAACATGCTGGGGCTATGTGCAGATCATGTGGATGCTGCCAGGACTTTGGCATCTACTCAGTGAGCTGGGAGAGGCTGCTGGAGGGTTTTGAGCTGAGGGGGCCAGCATCTGCCTGCATTTTACCTTGAGGCCAGTGGGACACAGTCCAGTGGGAGAGAAGTCTGCAGGTGCTGTCCCCACCTTCCTGCAATATGCTGAGACCCAGAGGCCCCAAGCAGGACCCAAGCCAAATAGCAAGTCCCTTCCCCCCCTTGCACTGGGGAAGGCAGCTGGGAATGCCAACAGTCCTCATAGATCTTGGGGTCACAGGGACCACAGATGGCCCCTGGGACAAGCCAGCAGCCCCACAGCACTGCATCCCTGACACGCTGACTCTGAGAGCATGTCTTTTCATACTTGAACATCACTGAAACGGCAACACCTCTGTGGCTGATGATGCCTGAGTTGATGGAATTGGCTCTTGCAGGCTTTTGAAGTCACCCGGTATGTCGTTTTGATTTTTTCCCATCTGCCTTTGGCAGTGGTCTGGTCTTTATTTGGTAAATTCTGGTGCCCTAGCCTACGTCAAAACTGAGGGCAGGAAAATGTGGAAGACCCAACCTTTGCCGTCAGGACACATCTTTTGGCTGGAAGAATGTGATGAAAAGAGGAGACCAAGAGTCAAAATGCCAGGGACAGACGTGGCTCGAGCCCTCAGGAAGGGCAAGACTGATGTGGGTGTGTAAAGTGTGCTGCTGTTGTAGACACAGTCTCGTAGTTCCTCTGACCTCTGACGACTAAACCTAGAGTTACCACATGACCCAGCAGCTGCATTTCTAGGTGTATACCCAGGATAAATGAAAACACATCCACACAAAGACTTGAACAGCTGGCCCTTGAACAAGGGGTGTGAACTGCAGTCATTTATACATGAATTTTCCTCTTCCATCAC